CACTGCACCTATGTTCCCAACAGCAACAAGCAGAAAGGGGCCAAAAGCTGTGGGCATATACCAGCCAAGCGTGTCCTCACTGAGCTTTCAGGAAAGACCCCATCAACAACACCCACTCACATTCCTATAAGACCTGAGCCACTCTAGGCTATAAAGGAGTCTAGGAAAGGGAGATAGACATATTCCCATCTCAAACAAAGCTGGGGTTCTTTTAGTTAGAACAGAATAAATGTTGAATAGCCAATCAGCAAGGTTAAATTAGATATTTTATGTAAAGTATTAGGCACAGTAACCTCACACATAGTTAACTGTTCAATAAAAGTTAAACTATTGCCTGACCAGCGAGACTCAGTGGTTGAGCATCAACCTATGAACCATGAGGTCTCAGTTTAATTTTTGGTTGGGCACATGCCCAGGTTGCAGGCTTAATCCTGGTAGGGGCATATAGGAGGTAGCCAATCAATGATTCTCTCTCATCATTGATGTTTCTATCTCTCTCTCTCTCTCCCTTTCCCTTCCTCTCTGAAATCAGTAAAAAAATATTTTATAAAAAAGTTAAACTATAATTACTGCTATTATTGTTATTATTATTCAACTATCTTACCCTCTAGCCAAACGGAATAACTTATTATATCCAGATGTGCTCCTTCCATGGCTATTATATCCACCCCTCTAACTGTATACCCAACACTACCCCTGCTTCAAGGTCCATGAAAATGCCATTTCATCCACGGAGTCTTTCCTGGCACTGCTAATAAGAGGTCCTATGGTGCAGGACCCACATCAGATAAAAACTTCTTGGAATAGTTTAAGAAATTCTGATACATTCTTCTACCTGTTTTTACAGTCTAGAATCAAACCTGATATGTTTCTGAAGTGCAAAAGCTAAGCAATTAGGTTCATACGTCATAAAGCTAGGGGACTGAGGGGATAAAAACTGCACTCCCCAAGAATGAGAAGGAAAAAATGATAAAGTTCAGATTATAGTTCATCAAATATTCCCTCTCTACTATGGGCAGAACCTACTTTTACCTATGGATATTGGGGCTTCCCCATGTGACCTGCGCTAACCAAAAAGGTTGCTGATGGAAAAGACATCTGCTTGTGCGATTTGGCTTGCCACTTGAATCCAGTGATCTGCCCTCAGAAGAGCATGCCCCACCCACGTAGCTGCTATCCCTTCAGCGTGGGCCCCAGAACCAAGTGGAACAGACCGGAACCCAGCCTGCAGCCTACAGCAGAGCCACCCCAGCCTCGGACAGCCAAATCACATTCAAGCTGAGACACCTGAGTGTGAGAATAAATGGACCTGTTGCTGTAAGTCAGGGATTTTTTGTTATGCCCCAAAAGTTGACTAATATATACTTTACCATTTGATATATTCTAGCACTTCTAACATAGACATTCGTTTTTTTCTTCACATAAGAAAGAACAGGCTGAAGAATCTCTGCCTTTGGTACACGCAGTGATTTCTATCTTTGGATCAACTGATTTAAATTTATGAGACTACATTACCATTAATATCAGTGCCTTTTTTTGCATTCCATTTGTTCTACTAGCTTTCAAAAAATAAGGAAAATCACAATAAAGTATCACAGAATAATATAAATTGCTAAAACTAAACTTGGTTAGCCAAGTAGGTCTCTCCTATAGACAGCCAAAAATGTTAACTTCTTAGCTGATAAAAGGGGTGAAAGGATGCCCTACAGTGGTCAGCAAACTCATTAGTCAACAGAGCCAAATATCAACAGTACAACGATTGAAATTTCCTTTGAGAGCCAAATTTTTTAAACTTAAACTTCTTCTAACACCACTTCTTCAAAATAGACTCGTCCAGGCTGTGGTATTTTATGGAAGAGCCACACTCAAGGGGCCAAAGAGCCACATGTGGCTCGTGAGCCGCAGTTATAATAGATTGTACAAAGTCATCTCCACCAAAGTCAAAGACTATCTGTTGAGGTGAGTTTGACTTTGACTCCAACACCATCCATCGAAACACATTTTTCAAGATACCTGTTTTTGAAAACCATGACCACTGAATTTCACCAATAGGAAGACATTGATAAAGCTTACATTTTGTGACTTTTCCAACATAGTAAAACAAGATGGCCATATTATTTTAATAAAATAATTTTAAATAAAATTATATTCAATCACTAATGAAAACCAGCCTCTTTGTTAGTGAAAAATAAAATAAACTTCCAATCCCTTAGTGAAAAAGAGCCAGATGAATGATATTAAGACCAAGACCTATTAAAAATTCCAATGAGGGAGGAGAAAGGGGAAATGGGAGATATCTGTGATACTATCAACAATAAGAAATATATATATATTCTTTTGAAATCCCAATTGGAAATTTAAAGTATCAAGTAAAATGGGAGAGTGGGTTTGGTTTTGTTTTACCTTCTTTTAAGTCATTATTACCTTGGGAACCAAATTTCCATTGGGCCAAAGCTGACACACTAGAAGCATATAAATCACAAAGTTACTAAATGTGCCTATTTAGTGGAAGCAACAGCCTTCAAAGTATCAAGGCAAAGAGGACAATTCAAAGGCCAAGGACATCGCAATGGCCTCTTAAAAGAATAGGCCATATGTATGCTGAGATAGCTTACACTTCAGACTGGACATATGCAGACCACCCTACCAAAATTTGAACTCAAGGCCATCGCCAAGGTCATCCACTCTGGGCTCAAAGAAACCTGGGCTCAAATTCTCACTTTCACACTTAGCTGTATCAAGATACTTAATTCCTTTAGTCTTTTCTATCTAAAATTTGGGGATAATAACAGTAGCTACCCTTCATAGAGGTACTGCCAGATTTTAAAAAGATAATGCATGTAAAAGTACTCAGCAAAGTGCTAGCACATGAAATAACAATGATAATGATAATAGTAAGAACACTACCTTAGCAAAGCCGGCTCCTACATGAAGACTGTCCTAATCAGTGAACTCTGGCCCATAATCTGCTCATGAAATGCTGAATGCACAGGTCTGTATTCACATCCAGGGACAGCTTCTATGAGGTGACAGCTCTCTGGATCAACCAGCAATTCTTCTACTGAATTCAGGCAGAAGAAGGTTGAAAAATAAGCTTTTCGCTAACAGAAAATTAGGAAGGATTTGGTCCTTCTGCCCACAATCCATCCACCCATAAAAGTCTTTGCTAGTGAAAGCCGTGTTTCCATCATTACCCACACACCACCACCCCTCCAAACTGTGCGAGGCTTTTGTGAAGCACAGAAGCAGACGGACAAGATGGCTCACTTTCTAAGCAAACTCACCTCAAAGGCAAACTCTTCTACTCTCCAGAAAGGATCTGGCTTGACCCCACTGCCACCTCCAAACGGACATCCAAACTGGAAGCGAAGAAGCCAGCCCTCACTTCCAGAAGTTGAGGTGCACTGTCAAAACCTAAAAGGATTCCCTTCTATTCGTGGAAATCCTCACAAAGCATGCTTGCCTGCTTCAAAAATATCTCATACATTCACCCATCAGCGCCATGAGCCAACTACTGTAGGCTGAGAGACCATGCGACTTGACAAGGACAAGAGACCATAGGAGACCAAGTGCCACACCCTTCCCGAGACAGCTCAACAGTACACCGTGTCTCTTAGAATAAAGGGAGAAAAGTCTAACCCCCCTCACCCATTTCATTCTTTACACAGACCCATTTCCTTTGCATTTTTAAATCAATGGCCTGAGCATCCCCAACTACTACAACTAATAAAAGGGAGGGGGGAAGGTGGAAGAAACAAGCAGGAGTCCAATTATACTTGCTTCTTCCAAGCCCCTTTGGAAGAGTTTTCCTCCCGCTTGTCTGCCTTTCACAGCCGGAGCCTCCTACCTGGTGGAAACCAATGGTTAAGCAAAACCACTGATTTTTAAAAAGCCAACCAGGAAACTAGCCATGACAAGTGGGAACGGCCCTCCTCTCCCGAGCGCGGATTGGCTCCTGGGGTTTCACGGTCCCCGTTCTGCCCGCCTCAGTGGCGGGCGCGGCTGTCCATCACGCGGGGCGCTGACAAGTCGCCGCCCCGGAGTGAATGGTCTTTCCTCTGGCCGAGGAGGCAGGTAGCCGCCTAGGATCAGGATCGCCCCGCTCGCCCCGCGCGGACCCTCCCTCTCCGGGGAGGAGAGCGGAGGGAGACCCTTCCGTACAAAATAAATAAGACAGGGCCGACCAGAGAGAGTTTACGAGAGCGCACACCAACGCACTCGTAATCTTCCCTGTCCTAAAATGATCTTTCAAAGGCTTGGATGGTAATTTTTAAAAAGGTAAAAAAATAAATAAAAAATAAAAAATAAAAAAAGCACAACCCTCCAAGTACCCCTTTTCTATCTTGGATAATCCCTAGAAGGTGACGGGGAGGGAAGGAATGTCGTCCAGGTTAATGTCACATCGTATTCGTTTTCACACACCCACCACCGCCCTCTCCCCTTCCCCATGAACCCGGCTTCATTTTCCAGGACACGGATTTTTTTTATTTTTTATTTTTTTAAAAAAACACGCTCCCCCTCGGAGTCCAGGGAGGCAGCCTGGGAGGGACCCCACCTCCCCCGGTGAGGCTGGGGCTGCACACCTTCCCCTACTTTGTTCTGCACGAGGTTTCCCCTGAGACCCCTGCCCCGCGGACACCCCACCCCTGGGGGCCAGAGTGGGAGCCGGAGAGCAGGAAGGCGGCGGCGGCGGGACTGCGGGGGGCGGCCCGGCCGCCGGAGGGACGCGCGCCGGGGTGAGCCGTGCACTTGTTCCAGCCCGGGGGGGGGGGGGGGGAGGTCTCCACGAAGGCAGCCCCGCCTTTAGGCCCCCCATCCTCTCCCCCCGCCCCGGAGAGCCCCCGCCGAGGCGGCGGGTGCACCCCTCCGCTCCCCCCGATAACGCATTGCAGCTCCCCAAGAGTGAGGGGCCCGCGATGCGAGAGATGCCGCCGCCGGGGCACGGGCGCCCCGAGGGAGCCGGCACCCCGCGCCCGCCCGGCCCGGCGCCGCCGCCTCACCTTTCGGGTGCTCGCCCGGGGCCGCCCCACATGGATTCCTACAACCTCGCGTCGCCTCGGCCCCGAGCGGCCGGGAGGAGCCGGAGCCGGCGCTAGAGTGCGAGCTTGCGAGCAGGAGCGGGAGGTGGAGGAGCAGCAGGAGGAGGAGGAGGAGGAGCCGGCTGCGGGGAGGGAGTGAGAGAGGGAGGGAGCGCTCCGGGGCCCAGGCCGGCGCGGGGCCGGGCGGGGCCGGGGCCGAGGGGGCGGCGCCCTCCGCAGTCCCCACGCGCGCTCGCGGCGCTCCGCGGGCCACCGCCGCCGCGCCCGGCCTCTCCCCGCGGCCCGGCCTCACATTCCCAGCATTCCCGGGGCGCGGGGGGGGGGGCGGGGGCCGGCGCCTCCGCGGGGGGCGCGGGGAGCTCGGCCGGGGCGTGGGGCGCGCGGCGGGCGTCTCCGGAGCGCCTTCTGCCCGGAGGCCGCTGTCTGGAAGCGGCTGGTCCCCGCCTTCTGTGCCTGATGCCCCTCCCGAAAGCTGCCAGCCGCTCCCCGCCTGGTCAGGTGGCCTCGGCGGCGACAGGGGCAGGGATGGCACTGGGCGGAGAGGCTGCAACTATCTCTCCGTGTATGCTTTGGAGTTGGGGGTCGAGGTTTCCACACCCCCGCACCCTCCCCTTAGCTTAATCTTCTTTAGGATGGGTGAAGGGATTTCATAAGACTTTTTAAATTGCTTGTTACCCACCCCCCACCCCAAGGAAAGGAGAGAATGGAATAAAGGGAGCAAGAAAAAATACATCATCATCATCATCATCATCATCATCATCATCACCATCATCACCATCATTCATTGAGTACCTCTTCTGTGCCCTGCAATGTGTGTCTTCCCATTTAAGGAAGAAAGATAGTGTCTGAGTTCATTCATACACACACACACACATCTCAAGGTGAGTAGCAGGAGGAGTTGGAAATGTTTTTCATTGGAAAAAGCTTCCACCCAATAAGTCTGGAGGTCCAACTTGCTACCATTTTGTATTAGCCAGGGGACTCGACATGTCATAGGTGTCTCCAGATTTGGTCTCTCACTGAGAGTCCATTCGCAGGCCTAGAGCAGTCATCTCCTTCCATTCCTGATGAGTCTGCTTCCAGCAATTCCAGTGGCCAGATAGGACTGTCTCCTGCTGGGAAACTCAGACAAATGAAGCGCATTTAGCCTTGGGATGTCTGGGCGAGCTGAGTATGGAGTCAGCCCAGCGACTGTGATGACTCTTTTCTCCTGCCCTGATGGGAATTCAAATATTAAAGGAAGGAAGTGGGTGCTGAAAGAGGAGGAAGGTGCCTGTCTGTTCCAGCCCAAATGCCCTGTTCCTTAAGCCAGTGGTCGGCAAACTCATTAGTCAACAGAGCCAAATAGCAACAGAACGACTGAAATTTCTTCTGAGAGCCAAATTTTTTAAACTTAAACTTCAAACGCAACTTCTTCAAGATAGACTCACCCAGGCCGTGGTATTTTGTGGAAGAGCCACACTCAAAGGGGCTGAAGAGCAGCACATGGCTCACGAGCCTTGGTTTAAGCCTTCCTTTCACATTATTGGTATTTAAGGTTTTTCACAGATTCACGGCCCCAGGGGTCTCTGCACTCACCCTCTTCTTTCCCTCAGTCACCAAGAAATCGGCACTCATTCTGTTGATCCAGATGCACTCCAGGAAACCCAAGCTACACTTGTTGTGTTTAGTTCCCCATGAACATTCTAGACAGCCTGGGCTGGAAAGGCTTGATATACTTGTCAAGAGTCCTTTGGCATGTCCTAAGATCCCATATCTTTTGAAATGTGACCGTGTTTATTGAGTACCTCTCTCTGTGCAGCACTTACATTTTCTCAACCACTCTCACAGAAACTCTATGTTTACTGTCTTTCAGAAAAGTCAGGTAACATACCTTGCTGAAAATGTGTTTAAATCTATGCCTACCATCCACCAGTCTTGTCCACCCATTCTCTTAACCTTTGATCCATAGATTCTAAACAAGGATCCTTGCCAAAACCGGTTTGGCTCAGTGGATAGAGCATCAGCCTGCGAACTGAAGGGTCCCAGGTTCAATTCAGGTCAAGGGCATGTACCTTGGTTGTGGGCACATCCCTAGTGGGGGTGAGGGGTGTGCAGGAAGCAGTTGATTGATGTTTCTAACTCTCTCTCTCTCCCTTTCTCTCTGTAAAAAAATCAATATACATTTTTTTAAATAAAATAAAAATAAACAAGAATCCTTGTACTCCCTGGTGACAATGTCTTGTTTATATGCTGTGTACATTTTCTCCCAGAGGGAAGATCTATGGTTCTCAACAGATTTCTTTCACATTGGGTTCTTGAAAAAATTAAGGATAATCACTTCAAGTATTAAGCAACTTTATGTAGTAGAACAAGGATTAGAAATTTTAGTGATATAAGTCATCTTTACCCTCTCTAGGACTTAGTTTCCTCATCTGAAAATTAAAAAACTGAACTAAAGGATCTTAAGATCTCTTCCAGAGCCAACATTCTCTAACTGTGTGTGTGTGTGTGTGTGTGTGTGTGTGTCTCAAAATGCTTACAAGTAGCCACTGTAGATTCTCACCTTTGAGGATAAAAGATTACAAAACATGCTATGTTTTATTAAACCTGTTGTATGGCTTCAGGATTTTTGTTCATGTTTTTTCTTGTTGTTGTTCTTCATTTATTTGTTTTACTTTGTTTTTCACATCTTCCTCCATCGTGGCAATCCCTTCTCCAACAAGTCAGAGGAAGCACACTCTTTTATGGCAGATATTTTTCCTCACATATTCATTCATTCATTCACCCAACAAATACTTACTGAGCATCTACTCTGTGTTGTCCTATAGGTTCAGAGCCCTCGCCCTCAAGGTCTGTGCAGTACAGTAAGAGAGAGAAACAAGAAAAACGGGCATTACAATACCTCTTACAAAGGGACGAAGCTCTGGAACTGTAGGAGCCCACTGGAAGGACAGCCAACCTTTTCCCTGAGGTTCAGAAAATGCTTCCCAAGGAAATGTCTTAAAACTTGTCTGCCACATCCAACTTTCCAGCATTATCCTGTGTTCGGCCCAGACCAGCAAGCAGCTAGAAGAGATTGGATGTCTGGTGGACATCTGGCCCTGGGTGAGTCCACTGTATTTGAGACTGGGCCATGAGAATAGGTCAGCCAGTGGATACTGAATGGTGAGCTTGTAGACTGTAGTGCCTAAATCAGAACTATGGCACCCAAAACCATGATGATAAAGTCATCGAGAAATGAGCTCTAAGGCTTTTGCCAAGCAAGCTGGTCCAAGAGAGGAGAGTAGACAGGTATGTTAAACCTTATAAACCTACCCAGAGGGTTGACTTGCTAGCCAAGTAGGCCTGTAACTGAGCACTGGTTGAAAACAGCTGTTTCAGTTGGACATTGATGCAGGGTCATAAAATAGACTGCAGCAACTACTTGACTCTCTTTTTCTTTTTTTATATTTTGTTCATTATGGATATTTTGCATTCATTCTTAATTCAGCAATTGCAAAGAAAAATATTTATATAGCCCATACTATGTGCTAGGACCTGTTATAAGCATTTTGTATGTATCACTTCACTTATTCCTCACAATCACCCTTTAAGATACCATTATTATTTCTTTTCTTTTTTATAAATATTTTATTGATTTTTTACAGAGAAGAAGAGAGAGGGATAGAGAGTTAGAAACATCAATGAGAAAGAATCATCGATCAGCTGCCTCTTGCACACCCCCTACTGGGGATGTGCCCGCAACCAAAGTACATGCCCTTGACCAGAATCGAACCCGGGACGCTCTATCCACCGAGCCAAACCAGTTTTGGCCCATTATTATTTCTATTTTACCGATAAAGACACTAACGCACAGAGAAGTAAAATAATTTAACAAGGCCACACAGCTAGGAAGTTGCAGGACTGAGATGCAAACCCAGGTGTTGGTTTGCAAACTGGCCCCCTTACAGGGAGGGACTGAAGAGAAAGGCAGGCCCCTGCAGATTGGTAGGTGGCAGACTTCATAAGCAAGGGAACTCACATACTAGGCTTGTCTTGAGTAGCCAAAAGCCCATGGATCTCCGCGCCAGCCCACCAGAATCTTCTTAAAAAGTTTACGTAGAGGCCTGATTCTCCCAAAAAAATGCCCATGGCAAAACATACATTCCAAGGACAGGGAAGGGAGTGAGGAGCCCTGGGTTCCCAGGTCTAACTCCTGGGTAGCTAGCAATCACTGTCCTCTCATTTACTTCCTCCAACATCAGTCAGTCAGGCTCCAAAATCAACAAGGCAAAATTAACTGGACTTGGTGAGTGATTGGATGTGGGATATGAGGCAGGAGCCAAGACTGCTCCTAGGAGTCTGATTTGGGCAACTGGATGGATAATGTGGCATTAACTAATACTGGAAATACAAGTGGGAGGCACAGGTTTATGGAAAATTTATAAACAACTTATGGGTTCAGTTGAGTCATTACACATTTGAGGTGCCAGGAACCTCATGATGGAGATATCTAGAAGGTGATTATCTCACTGTGCTTTGAGGTCAGATGAGAGATATATGATGAAGACAGTGTATGGGAGTCATCATATCTGGCAATTTAGAACCATGGGCATGTCTTAGTAACTAACCCAAAACAGTCACTGGCCGTGGGAAAATACAGTTAGATGAGAGACAAAATCTCTAAACAGCTCACAATTATCTGTTCTCCTTAGGCATAAAGTCATTTTGTCTCAGGGTAGATTTTAGTTCAAGAGAAACATCAATAGTCTGCTATAAAAGTAAAAAGACCCAAATAACTACCCATAAACAACCCCCTAATAGGAAATAATCACCTGACACTTATGAAGCCAACCTATTGGCTTAACTAAAGGAATTCTCTTTGCCAGGGATGTTTTAAGACCTTTGTAGCCTTAAGCATCACAGCAAACATTTCAAAATCCAGCATCATCAAAATATCTTTTTTTTCTGTGGAAATTTTTGAAAGATTTTCAACATCACTTTTTATTATTTAACTAATTCATTTTATTCACTATTGGCTATGATTTGTCCATAATTATTAAGCATACTTAAGAATTATTGGGAGAACCATAGCCAGTTTGCTCAGTGGTTAGAGAGCATTGGCCCTGGACTGAA